ATATAAGATGAAATTTATCATTGTTACTAGAGCAGTGAAGAATGTAAAAAGTGTGTTAGAGTAAAAGAACTTATTGATAGAGAATTATATTATGTATTAATAAAAGTGTTATTTTATCTTGTAATTATAAGTTTCCCGATTAAACCTTAGATTGTTTTAAGTTATTAGTTTACTTGTGTTAATTTTAATAAATGATCAGTTCTACCTAGTGGTGGATCCATTAACGATCTAGGGTGAGTAAGTGCACACTTTGAAATTCGAATTTTCTTCGAATAATTATATATTTTAATAATTTTGTCTACCCTGAAATTCTAGTTGTGTCATTTATTAAATTTTTATGTGATATGTGTGTGTGCGCCTACCCTAAAAAATATTCATGAATTCACCAATTGCCACTATTTGCAAAGGAAGGAAAACGAATGAGCTTGGGATACCTAAGGAAAGGCAGCCTAATATAAGGCCAAGAAAAAGCACTATCGAAAATGTTAATATTTTTTAACATTTCTAATAGAGTGCTACTTAAAATGTTATTTTTTTTTACCAGAAATATTAATATCGGGTGCTACCTAAAATGTTATTTTTTCTACCGAAAATATTAATATCCGAAATATTCATTTTAGGTAGAGAAATTAACATTTTCTGTAAAAAAAAATAACATTTTAGGTAGCGCTCTACCGAAAATGTTAAAAAATATTAACATTTATGGTTGCACATTTCCTTATCCTTATATTAGGCTATCATACAGGCTTGCTCACTAGCTATAACAATAATTCAATGTTAGGCAGAGAGAAGAACTAGACCTGGGCAAATTGACTCATGTATTTCGAACCCTAATTTATACTACATGTCTATTTGAAAATTATAATTAAAATAGTAAGCGAAAAATACACAAATAGTTCTCCAATTATAGGGTGTTACTTTGTTGAGTTCATCAACTATTAAAAGTTACAAAATAATCCCTTTACTATAGAGTGTTGCTTTGTTGAGTCACTCGACTATTAAAAGTTACAATATAGTCACTTGATTATTCATATATTCCAAACTCACCCTTTTCTGTTAAAAATTGACAGTCATATGAGTTGGACATTAACTTGCTAACTAATATAAGATGAAATCTTATCTTAAATCATTTGAATTGTATAGTCGTTTGAGATTCTATGATCAGATTTTACCACATCACAATTAACAAGTTAACGTTCACTTTAGACGAACGCCAATTTTTTAACACAAAATTATGAGTTTGAAACATATGAATAGTCGAATGACCATTTTGTAGCTTTTAATAGTTGAGATACTTAACAAATCAATACCCTATAGTTAAGGAACCATTTTTGTAGTTCTTAATAATCGGGGGACTCAATAAAATATTGCCCTATAGTTAGGGGACCATTTGTGTACTTTACCCAATAGTTAAATAAAAGGCAAAAGGGTACTTGAGGCTATTGTACTTTTTAAAAAAAATCAATGTGGCACTTGAAATTTTTTCCATTCAATGTGGTCCTTGAACTTAGAAAAAGAACCCAATGTGGCCATTTGACCAATGGTTTATGTCGTTGACCGTTCACGATGTTGATGTGGCAGTCCACGATGCTAACGTGACACTTTACGATGCTGACATGGCAGTCTACGATGCTGATGAGGCAATCTACGGTGGCTAGTGACGTGACTGATGAGCTAGATTAGTTTTTTTAATTTAAGGGCCAAATTGATCTTTTAAAAAGTTCAAGGGCTTATTTAATTTAAAAAAAATACAAATATTTTATATTTAAATTTTAAAAAATATTAAAAAAATAAATATAAAAATACCATTAATTATTAGAATTATTGATTAAATAAAAAATATGTTATATTTAGTTTTAAAATATTATTATTCAATTTAATTTACTATTTTATTTTCCATTTAAATTACAAAAGCCAACTTTGAAATTTTTTGTGGCGCTTGATAACGACAACGATCTCTTTTGGTTTCCATGCGATTGTTTCAGCTTTGTCCAAGGCATGAAACACCTAGTGGCCCGATGATCTTATTTTTACTACTTTTTTTTACTTTTTTTTCATACGCTTCATAAATAAAAGAAAATATCCAAAATTTTATATTTTTATTAATTAGGGTAAACTATGCAGATAGTCCTATATGTTTTCGGTCTGACCGACTTTGGTAACCAATTTAAAAATTAAGGAGGAATGGTCTCTAACGTTATCGGTCCATTCGATTTTAGTCTTTAACATTATCGATCCATTCGATTTTAATCACTCAGTCGTTAACTCTCGTTTGATTTTAGTACCTCAACCATGATAGGTACTTCAACAAAAAAGACTTAAACAAAAGGGGTTAACAAAAATTAATGGTCGAGGGACTAAAATCGAACGGTTAGATAATGTTAGGGATCATTTCCTCTTAATTAGGGATCATTTCTCCTTAATTTTTAAATTGGTGACCAAAGTCGGACATACCCTAAACATAGGAGACTATTCACATAGTTTACCCTATTAATTACTCCAATCATATATGAGGTGTGATTCACTTAAATTAGTATAAAGTTAAAGTAATTTTATATATTTTTTGTAATTTTAATAGATTAATATTTAGATAATTTGTTGGTCAAATTTTATATTCTATTCACTTAAAATATACATCAATAAACGACAGAGTTTCAGACCAATATGATAAAGATTAAATTTATTCATAGTTACATATATGACAAGTATATTTATATCAATATTTGACAGTCGACTTATTAAAATATTAATTGTATGAAAAGTTATGAAAGTATATATTATACTCTCCTTCCGGTAGTTGTGAATTCCCATTATCCTTATTTCTATTGGTATACGAACAACCATTTTGATTGGCTTTTTTGTTGTAATTTCAATGAAAAATAAAATAGTAGATTAAAATAAATAATAATATTTTAAATTTAGATATAACTTATTTTTCATTTAATAAATAATATAAAAATATTTGATAATATTTTTATATTTAACTTTTTAATATTTTATATTTTAAATTTAAAATATGTTTATTTTTTAAGAAAAGCCCTTGAACTTTTAAAAAATTCAATTTGGCCCTCAAACTTGAAAAAAATCAATTTAGCCCATCTACCACGTCACCAGCCATTGTGGACTGCCACATCAACACCGTGGACTGCTGCATTAGCACCGTGAAGTACCACATCAGCATCGTAACGATCAATGATGAAAATTGTTGGTAAATGGTTACATTGAGTGCAAAAAAAAAATTCGAAGACCACTTTGATTTTTTAGAAAATTACAAGGGCCTTAGGTATCCTTTTGCCTAAATAAAATCAACAATGTTTAAATTCCTTAATTTGAAAATTAACTACTTAGTAAAAAAAAAATCAATAAAACACCTTGATAGAGTTGGTTAGGTTGAAGAGTACTTAAAGAATGGAACTAAAATAATATGCAAGGGAGCCAAATAAATTAGGGACCTAAATAATATTTAATCAACAAATTTAAGTAGTTGAGGTTTAATTTGAATAATATTTTCATTTTCGGGACCTAAATTTCAATTAAACAAAAAAAAAATCGAATAGGATCCCTCCCAACTTGCACTTGATTTCCTCCCTGTAATCCTTGAGACCCTAAATTGAGTCTCATCTAATGTACATTATATATATAGGGTCTCTAATTAATTCTAGATTTAGTAAATTAGTATTGTGATTGTATTGATCATAGGGTAAATATATATATAATTCTCACCCTATGCTTTTTTTTTCCGACCCAAATTCTTGAATGATCTTTTGATTTTTTTTATTTAATTAATATAATTTTTTTTATTGTTGAACATTTTATTTTATTTAGGAGTAAATACAATATCAAGATTTCAGTGAGCCCTGTCATCAATGGTAGCTCCTCCGACTCCACATCTGAAGGTAGCGTGATCGATTCACGTCGGGATCAATTTCCTGAAATTCGGATCTTATTTTTTTCCTTGTCCCTCTTTCGGATATGGGCCCATCTGGGTTAAACCCGATCTGAGTTGTTCCTGAAAGTGGGGAAAAAGAAATCCCATCCGTTCGTTTAATCATTAAAATCCTATTTAACATTTAAAAAAAAACTAAGGTGAGAAATCTGTGTTTTCAATGATTATCTCTCTGTCTTGATTTTTATCAACAATGTTTTGTTATACATTGATTCCGTTTTACTAACCCTTTCTGCTTGCTTAACTCCAGTTCTTTTATTTAATGGATCTTTCATCTTACTCAGATTCTGTAGTCTTTAGTCAGTAACAAACTCTGTTAAGCTGACATAAACTCAAAAGAATGAAATGGATTTTGTTACAAAATTTTATTGATTTTGGTTTGATATAGTTTTGATTAGAGATGGGCGAGGAAGTTAAGACTGCAGTCCCCGAGTCACTCCTGAAGAAGAATAAGAGAAATGAAGAATGGGTTGCATGGCTTAAAAGTTATGTTCTAAAGGATTAAGATTTCTGGCAATTCGAAGCTGGTGCCAATGTTAGCTGGAGCATCAAAAGAATTCTAAAAATGAGGACTACAGCTTATCTTATCCTTTCTACTGGTTCACTGCAGATAAAGGAAATTTGGGACATGATTCGACTGCAAGGGCAGAAGGTTTCTTGACACAGACTTATATGGTTTCCAATGCATATCCCAAAGCATAGCATGATTGCTTGGATGTCACTTTTGGACAGGTTAACTGCCAGAGATCGACTTCAAAGAATGGGGATTTGCACTGAAGGAATTTGTGTCAATTGCAGCAGCACTCAAGAGACAAGGGATCATCTATTCTCCCAATGTTCCTTGGCAGCTGGCCTATGGAAATCTATCTTGCGCCTAAATGGGATGAATTATTCTTACTTGACATGGGATGAAATGGTTTCTCGGGCAAGTTCATCTTGGAAAGGGAAGTCTCTTATCACCATCATATTGAAGATTTCTTGGACTGCATTTATCTACACCTTGTGGCAGGAAAGAAACTATAGAATTTTTTTATGGACGTTTCAGAATTGCCGAAATTATGCTCAAAGATATTATTCAAGCTGTATGCAAAGGAGTATGAGGCTCAGGTAATTGTTCTGTTCTGTTCATATTTTTTCATACATTGTTGTTTTAATCAAATCTTAGAAGTGTCTCAACTCGTATTATGTGGTGTGCAATCCTCAGGAAAAGGAGTTGATTCGATTGAAGCGTGAAGCAAAGTTGAAAGGAGGATTTTATATTGATCCAGAAGCTAAGCTTTTGTTTATATTTCGAATCCGAGGGTATGTGATTATTGTGGCATATCATTGATTTAAGAATCTAATTTCTAAATGGTTACATTTTCAGATTTTATATATTTTCAGTATCAATGCCATGCACCCAAGGACGAGAAAGATCTTGCAGCTCTTGCGTTTGAGGCAGGTTAACTGATATTATCTTTTCACTAAAATTCTGGCTTATCAGAATTGGTTCCCACTTTTCCCTCTGTGTGTGTCCCATGCATGAACTGGATCTCCTTTTGAGGGATGATGTGTGTTATGATATCTGGTTGAAATAATCTTACTTTGATATGCTGTGCTTTTTTTGAGATTCTTTTGTCCAAATTAAATGTACGTGTGTGTTTTTGTTGTATGGTTTCAAGTTGTAGAAATATCTTAGGTACGATAGAAACAATTTATTAGGAAAGTGTGTATAAAAAGAGGTATTACCAGACAAACAGATGAATAGATACAATCAATGAGGAAGCAAGCGATAGAGACAACGTCAACCAAAAACATTTAGGAACTTGCATTTGAAATAACAAAGCTCTAGAAGTTTCAGTCGCTATCTCCGAATGCATTTCTACCCGAAAACTTCGAAGTAGAATAAAAGATCGGGGCAGGGGAGGCTCCACAAATCAGCTATAATTATTAGGGTCCTAAGGTAGCCAAATTTTATTGCACAAGCAGAAACATAGATGGAACATGGGAGGATTTAAAAGAAAATGTCAATCGAACCGTCGGAAGAAGTCGTAAATGTGGTTGTTAATCTCGTCGGGTTTTTCCATGTGGATGAAGTGCCCAACTCCTTCCATTACCACTACTTCCTGCAACAATGGCACATCCTTCTTGAATCTGCCATTGTGGAAGTATTCCTTGAGGCCAGGCATATGGTAAACCAGGTCCATATCACCCACTATGAAATTTGTGGCTGCTTTTACCTCACAACCATCCCATGCTGTCGTGAGTTCCCTGTTTCTGTCATTAGACACGTATGTATAATATAAATACCGATTAAAGCTCCGGTAATAGTTGATTCCATCAGTGAAGCGGCTTTTGTTAAACTTAGTGACATGGTAATTAAAGACTTCCTCTGATAAACAGGAAGGCAACGCAGTCGACATATCCGATGAATGTCCGAATAGGTTCCCTTTGGTTAACATTATTGGAGCCGGAACGCTGTATGCCAGCATTTCCTTCATTATTGTCTCGGTGCCAATCTCTGCAAACTCAACTTCTATTTCTCCAGGTTCCTGTTGTGATATTTCTCAGTTGGGATGGACAAATTATGCTTGAAAAGTTATTAGAAAGGGTAAATTTACCTGAAATCTACAGATGTAATAATCATTCCCATAAACAACTCTCCACTCATCAACGGGCTTCATTTGTGGATTACGTGGTAAAAGGGGCACACTCAGATTCAACAAGGCTTTCACTTTGTACGACCTAAACAAGCACAAATACCAAGCTATGAGAGCTCCCCAGTCATGGCCTACTACAAACACCTGTTGTTCGGGGGTGACAATGTTTAAAAGATCGATTGAATCCCCCACTACATGGAAGCAGGTGTACTCGGTGACCGAATCCGGAGCATCCGTGTCACCGAAGCCCTGCAGGTCGGGTGCGATGGCTCAGTAACCCTTGGAAGACAAAGCATCAATCTGGTGATGCCAAGAGTTCCATGGCTCAACGAAGCCATGCAGAAAAAGAATGACTGGGCCTTGCCCTTTCTCAGCTACGTCCGTGTTGATGCCGTTCACTTTAACTATTCTGTGCTCAACCCCTTCCATCCTTTCACAATCTGAGCTTCTTTGGCTGCTGTCAGCTGCATAATGGATTTATAATGAAAATAGATAAAAGTCTAAGACAATAGATTTAATAACACGTTTTGTGAGAGATTAAATTTAATAATTTATTATACACAAATTTAATCCCAACCAAAACGCTAGCTGTTTTATTCCTCCTCATATCTTTCTTTTTTTTTTCTTTACAATTTGTGTCAATTTTATTGATCAATTTAACTTTTTTCTTTAGTTTTATTTAACCGACGTTGACACTGATTTTGATGTTGATTGTCACCTGTTGGTTATCATTTTTTTTAATTTTTTAATAAGAATAATTATGTCATTGTGACATATTTTCTACCTTTATGACACATTTATCTCTATCTTTTGACAACTTACAGTTTTTTGCCCTTTTTTCGTTTATCGGCATCATGAGTTCCATTAAAATTTTAGAAAATATTGTAGTTCTCTAAATAAAGTGCTCTGTGTCATATTGAGCTAAATAAAAAGCCTGTGTACTGTATTAAGCCAATTTTACCTGGTTATGTGGCTTAAAAAGTTGGGTCGGGCTGAAATACAATTCTTATTAGGGTAATTAATTTATTGGTCCTTGAATTATATGATCAATTTGATTTTGATCACTTACTAAAATATTTGATTAGCTTGGTCATTATATTTTCATTTTCATATCAATCAAACCACTTTTCGTTTATTAGTTAATGGAATTTTGTTTTGAATTTTGTATAATATTGTATTTAATCTCTAAAATTTGCACATTCAATTAATTTATTTATAATTTTAAATAATTCAAGAAATTTAACATAAAATATTATTAATTTGATCCAACTATTTTACTCATTGTCTTGTGTTGTCATTCTCTCCCTCAACCTTACTTTATCATTGTTAATCATTACTTTTTTTTACAATGACAATTTCGATCATTAAAGCCATCAAACCATTTTCATGAAGTACTCCTAAAAACTTCAAATATACGTTCTTTCTGAAGTCAAATTAGTCAACTGCAAATTGCTCTCTCTCTCTCTCTCTCTCTCTCTTTTATTCCTTTTCTGTGTGGAAGAAAATCGAATCCCCAATCACTAAGATAAATTGAGAAACAAAACAATTATGGTAATTCGAAAAACGATGAGACGTGTAATATTTTTGTAATTATTTTATATATAACAATGAGATGATATCCTGTTAAATTCGATTTTGATTTGAATTGATTTTTTTATTCAACTTAAAATTTAAAGAATATAATTTAACTGTATCAAATTTGAGGGAGTTAATTTTTTTTATGCATGGACGGATGCATATTGTAACACCCCAAACTATGGGTTAGTGACTAAATGGTAAACTTTCAGAATTTGGTGATTAAAGTAGAAGAATGGATTAGTTCAATGATTTATCTGGAAATAAATCCTAAAAGTTGTTAGTAATTATCAAATGAAGTAGAGGACAAAATGGTCATTTGACTAATAAATGAATTAAAAATAGATATGATAAGGATATATATGTTAGAGGGGATAAGGATGAAGAGATATTCTCTTCATCTTCTTCTTCTTCTTCTTCATGTACGAGAGAAAGAAAGAGCCAAGCTTGCAAAGGTAAGATTCATTGTTAGCTGATTATTTGTTAATTTTAAGAGTGAGTTTTGATCATTAGGTAATACTTAAGCTTATGGAAAGCTTAAGGTGTCCTAAAATCAAAAGATAAAGAAGTTATGAAAGATTAAAGAAAATGAGTTTCTAAAGGAAATTCTGGAAAAGAGTTAGTAAGTGAATTTTGAGAAGGAATTTGACTTGTCATCAATGTAATTAAGAAATATGGAGTGTTAGAATTAGATTTAAAACATGTTAAAAATCTGGTATGATTCTTGAAGTTAATAAAGAGGAGAGGATATTAAGGTTAAAGAAGAGATAATTGATTATAAACGAGTTTAAACATGTATATGAAAGTTAGGAATATGAAAGGGGATGAAATATGAAGCATTTGAGTGAAGAGTTGATGATTTTCAGGTTCAAAAAGAGGTTCTGGGCAGAGTGCATCGATGCACATTCATAGTGCATCGATGCATCAAGGTTAAAACCCAAAAATTTGTTTGAAGGTGTATCGATGCACAGGTAGTGCATCGATGCACTCTTTTAAAATAGAAACATCGAATGCAATTAGTGCATCAATGCATAAGGCATGCATCTATGCATAAGGCATGCATCGATGCATAAGGCATGCATCGATGCATCCCAGTGATAATACAACATCGAATGCATTTTATGCACCGATGCATCAGTAGTGCATCGATGCATACTTTCATTGAAAGATGAAATTGGCATTTTTCTTAGTCTAAGGAGTGAACCATTAGAGTATATTAGTTATAATACTGATATAGATCTATGAATGATTATGTAAATATAGAACGTGATCCCATTCAGAAACAATTGAAGGATTAGAATCGAATCAAAGCAAAGCTAAGGTGAGTGCAATTTAATTGTACTTATGTTATCTAATAAACATTGGCTTATGATGAGCCAGTGATAGAGTTAATATGGTAAGAAGTGACTCCTAAAATGTTATTTGATTTGTGAATGATATGATGCTTATGTGTGTATGAGTACATGATTATATGTATATGTGATATGTGATATTGAACTATATGAAATTATAATATATGAGAATACATGTCTATGTGACAAGATATGTGAAATTGAATTAAGTAAATACATGAGAATATGACATGAGATAGATAATATGAGTTATGTGATCATATTAGAAAATATGTTAAGTGATATGTGAAAGTGGATTACATGTTTATGTGAATATGTGATACGATATGAGATTCATAAATATATGTTTATGAGATATATGTTTACACATACATAGGGTATGTGACAGAAGAGAAGGAACATGAGATTATAAGATCAATGATTACACGTATATGTGATACGTGACAGAAAAGAAGAGATATGTGTTTATAAGAGAAATGATATGATATAAGTTATGTGATTACATGTATGTATTAATACATATTGCTTGCATTACATGTTAGTGTGATTGTGAATAGTTAGGAAGGAAACAAATGATGATATAAGAATCTATTATACGATATATGATATGAAATACATGGTTACACATACATGTGGTATGTGACAGAAGAGAAAGAACAAGTGATGAGAAATGTATTCATAATGATAATGCCCATGTTATGAGTTATGAGAACTGTAGGTATAGTTGGCATGCCAAGAGTCAAAGAACTACCTATGTCTTTCGAGACATATGGACAGTATACCTATGTTCTAAGGAACATATGGATAGTTTACCTAGGTTATTCGGGACCTATGGATAGTTACTGAGGATCTTTATGACCTCTGGATAGTTACCGAGGATCTTTATGACCTCTAGATAGGTCCTTCGGGACATTGATCGAGCTGTGGTGACAGTATATGTGTGCACAACCTCAATGTAATCACATACCTTAAGTTCTCACTAGTGTACATGGGTTAATAAAGAGGTTAAACAAACATACTGAATGTGATATGTATACGATGGGTTTATAAATGGTTATCAAAGGTAAGTGGTTTGAAATGTGTTACATGAACCATATGATGTTATGTGTGTTTCTTAATGATAATGATAGAGATTATGATAATGATGGTATATGTTTATGTATGCTTTATGTTATATGAAATATTATATGTTTTATATGCCTCACTAAGTCATCGACTTAGCGTGTGATTGTTTCACATGTAGGTTTGGAAAGCGAAAAGAGAAGTAAAGAGGAACAAGACAGGTCAGTTCTCCTTACCGAATGTCAGATCAGAAGAGAGGTGAATAATATGTATTTTTGTATATAAAGTTCTAGTTGACATGTAATCAAAAGAATATATTGTATAAGCTCTGAATAGTTTTGTAAATGTTTTGAATAAGTTAAATGTTATAAAAGTTTTTAAATTACTCACTATTTTATACGAATAAATGTTTGAAAAGTCAATGTGACACTTCAGACTCGTATCCGGGTCAAATACGGGTTGGGGGTGTTGCACATATGGCCACATAGGAGGCCAAATGCACACCCATTATTTTAGATTAGATATTTTATATACTTCAATATATTAAAAGAATAAGAAAAAAAGAAAATTTGCATACCTATTATATTGAAAAAAAGACTATTAAAATTTTTAGACCCTAATTTCTAAATTTCTAGATTCACCATTGCGTATATGGTTGTAGATACGGTTGTAGATGAGACGAGAAAGATTATGACTTACTTGAGCTTGGTCACTCGAATCAAGTTATTAAGGAGTCAAAACGAGCTACTTGATTCACAACCTAAAAATCGCAGATAACATGAAAAATATATATTAAATTTTTTATTTTTAAATTAAATTATTGATAATATTAAAATTTATATATATTATTTTTTTTATTAAAAATACATTACAAAATTTTTATGTACTTAGGATTCAAGTTCGAGTTTAAACTTTAATTGAGTTAATATAGGGATGTAAATAGCTGACCCGGTTTGCAAAACTGACTTGAGTCAAAACTGTTTGTGACCTAAGTGGTGGTGATCAGAAACCGATTTGAGTCCGAACTGGTGTTGACCTGAACCCGAGTTGGACCTGGAAATTGTGGATCTGAACTTGACCTGCACCCGATCTGAGAACGACCTAAACTCGAATTGAACCGATAATATGATAACCGAACCCAAGATTAACCTGGTAAATAATTGGTATTACCCTACATATTATCAACCCAACCTATAATTGACTCAACTTGTAAATAATCCGACTTGTTATTGACCTAATCTGATATTTACCTGACTTATAAGTTACAGTTGATGAAGTTGAAGTTGTAATATTTTGAATTTATAATAAATTATGATAATTAATATGATTACTTTTTAAAAGATACAACAAATTGTTAGTTATAATAATTAAATTAATAAATTTATTTTCTATATTAATTATAATCCTTATATTATAAATCTTAATTATAATAATTAAATTAATTTCATTAAATAATTTATTTACTAAATATGACTTTATTTGATTATATAAAATTAATCTAAATATTTATATGTTTAATTTATTTTTCATGTAATAATTAATTCATAATTTAAATATAATTTAATGTAAATTTTTTAAAAAAATATATAAGATGAATTTATTTGAGATTAAATATATATATGAGTGGAGGAAGAAAACTTTTTAAAAGAAAGTATTTCTTATGGGAAATTTTGATTTTATTTGGAAATTTAAAATTTAGAAGTTGGCGTCAAGATTGGTGTCCATAAGATTTTTTGGGTTAATTAGGCCCACGTTCACTTTGTAAATTGGTTTTTAATTCTTTCATTTTAGTCATGGTTTAATTGTAGATCTCTTTTTGAATTTTTAATTAAATTCAATTTAATCCTATATATATTCTAACATAATTATTAAATATGAATGTTAATTTTAGAATCTTTTATTTTAGTCACTCATATTTAATTATTTACGTATATATAAACTTTTATATATCTATATATCTATATCTATATATACACTAATATATATATATATATACTCACACACACACTTATGTATATGTATATATACTTGTGTACAAACATCACATATATATACTTATATGTATATACACACACACACACATATTTATGTATATACTTTACACTTATATATATATATATAGTTATATAGTTATATATACTTATGTACATATAGTATACATACATACATATTCATATATATATATATATATATATATATATATATATATATATCATACTCATGCATCATTGATCATACATAATTACATATATACTTATTTATGTATATATATATATATATATTAATATTATATGCATAAATATTATATATATATAAATATATATATATATATATATTATAAGTATAATGGATGCATAAGTGTAATGTACATTATATATACATGTATCGTATTATATTATATATGCATAATATATTATATATATTATATTTGTTTTAATTTGATCCTTGCATGTTGTTTAATCTATTTAAACAATATTTTTTTAATTTCATGTTTAATTAATTTAGTCCTTAAAATTATACTATAATAACCAAACCTTATAAACTTTTGTTCATCAACTTTTAAATGGATTCAAATTAGTCCATTTTTATATTAATTTCAACTTAACATTTTATAATTATTTCAATTTGATCCCTCATCCATGTGTGTTTAATTATTTAAACTTCAATTTGTAATCTCATGTTGTTTAATTTAGTCCTTAAAATTATATTTTTATTAAAATTGACTCATAATTGTTTATATTGTTTGTAATTTTCTCCAAATTATATACAATTATAAATTACAATTTGTTGTTCATGAATAACGAAAAATAATTAACCTAAAAATTACCCGACCTAAACTTAATCCGTACCAAGTAAGATCTTGAATTTTGTTTGTTAATGATGTGACTCGATCTGAATGAGATCCGGCTGAAGTCCATCCGAACTTGAATTAACCTGGAATTTAACTTATTTGGACCTGAACTGTTTTGACCTGAATTAACATTGATCCAAACTAAAATTAACTCAATCCGAACATGAATTGAATCTGATTTCAAATCAACCTAAAAATGTCCTGAATTGATTTGACCAGAACCCGACCTGATCTGAGTCGAACCATAAAATTAATCTGACATGACCTGCATCCGATTTGACTTAACTTGATAGGATTCGAATGAAACTTGAACGATTATTTGATTTTATATCCCTAAATTAATATAAATAATGTTTCAAATTCGAATCAAACTTCAATTTTTGTTTCAAAGCCACGAATTTTCAGACCAAATCAAATTTAATTTTAGTTTTTTAACATTAAATCGAGTTCAATATTTCAATTTCAACTATTTTCATTTAAAGCCCTACTACCTACAATACATAGAATTTACGTTTCCTTAGAAAGTACAATTTCCCCTAATTTTGCATACAGAAGTCTTAGGTCGTAGCTTTAAGCACAACGCATACAAAAGGTCCCCAACTCCCAAGAGCATGAAACTCCTTGAGCGGATTAAATAATTGAATCCTTTATTCATTCCTAGATTCACCAAAACCCTTCCTATAATTCCGTTTTTTCTTCTTCATTTCTTAAGCTTTATCCATTGGGAAATGGATTTCCAAGTGGTTGTTTTAGCCGGTGGCAATTCGAAGAATCTGAATCCCCTAGTTTCCAAGGTCTTTCATCCCAGTTGTTTGGATTTCAAAAAATAAGAAGAAGAATTGTTAATTTCACTAATCCTTTTTTCTCTTATTTTTGTTACTTGAAATGCTTGCTTGCAGGACGTGCCTAAACCTCTGCTTCCGGTAGCCAACCGCCCTGTTCTTTATTATGTTCTACACCAATTGGGGCAAAGCAACCTCAAAGATCTCATCGTGGTAAGAAAGAATTTTTCTTATTTTCTTCTAAGGGTTGTGATGTTTTAAATGGGTATTATCATTATTTATAGTTTAGGGTTTTTGTTTTTGCTGTGAATGTTTGGGGGCGGCACATAGGTGGTTGAAGGAGAAGATGCAGCGCTTCTTGTTGGTGGTTGGATTTCTAAGACTTTTGTAGATGGACTACATGTTGAGGTACTTAAACTGTTTTTTTTTTATCTTTAATATTTTTATGGTATAAAGGGAATTAGTTTTGCACCATTCTATTGTTTCACGTATAATTAGATCAGGCTTTAGGAAGTTAAGTGGAGCAACAAAGCAAGTTTTGTAACTTTAGATGACAGAACTATGAAATGCGGTGGAATAGTCTTGAGATATATCCCTTTTAGCAGATCTTGTGCATTGACTTATTATGATCCTTGAAACATTGACGATAATGATTAACTGGTTTCTTTTTATTTGATGCTGCAGATTGCTGCAGTCCCTGAGGATATTGGAACAGCTGGGGCACTTAGGGCAATCTCACACCACCTCACTGCAAAAGACATTTTGGTTAGAATTTTTTAATTACTTGTGTTTGAGTTACCAAACGAACTAGTTTCTTTCTTTACAGCCTTCTTCATTTTCCTGTAGGTTGTGAGTGGTGATCTTGTTTCTGATGTTCCTCCTGGTGCAGTTGCTGCCACCCATAGGCGACATGATGCTGCATTGACTGCAATGCTTTGCTCTGTTCCTGTTAGTGGATCTTCGGACTCGGGATCTTCTGGTGGAAAAGACAAAACCAAAAAATCAGGACGATACAACATCATTGGACTGGACCCTTGCAAACAGTTTTTATTACACATAGCAACAGGTTAGACTTTTAACATTCCGTTCTATTTGGTGCTTTAATTGGGCTGGCTTTTTACTTAGAATCTTTTACTACAATGTAGGCGATGAAATTGAGAAAGATTCTCGACTTCAGAAGCACATACTCCATGCAGTAGGCCAGGTAATGCTTGCAATCAGTCTATTTACTTTTCTTACACACTTCAGCCAATGACTACTAATGCCCTCTTTGGTGGAGTTCAGTGATGATACAATTGTGTGCTACTGCATACGGGTTTAGAGGCTTGGTTTTTCATTTAAAGCAAAACATATTTTACCGATTGGTCAATCTGCCCATTTAAAGGCTTATGATATTCTTTATGGCCAATAGTTTATATACTACTATTGACTCTAATGCTTATGAGAAGCATTCATATTATTACAATAAAATGTCTGTTTGGTAACATAGCTTGTCATTTTAATCCTCCATTGTCAGTAATATTTTAATCCATCCATCCATCCATTTAAAATTTTCCTTTTGCAAATGGTTTATATTTGTTTGACATTCTATTGTTTATTCTCATTTTCCTTCTATATTTTATATAGATGGAAATTCGATCTGATCTGATGGATGCACACATGTATGCATTCAAGAGGTTGGTTCCCCATCTCGCCCTACTTGCTTTGAAATCAGCTTTTAGATCTTGACTCTGTTTTTGAATAAATCCTTGTTATATTTCCGCTCAGGTCTGCCCTGCAAGAAGTTTTAGATCAAAAGGATACTTTCCAAAGCTTGAAACAGGACGTAGTTCCTTATCTAGTCCGGAGTCAGTTGGTTGGTATCACTACATTTTAGGATGTTCACAGGCCACATTTATAACTGGGTATCTCATTTTTGTTCCTGATTCTTTTATAACTATCAGAAATCAGAGGTCTTGTTAAATGGAATTTCACAAGCAGAGGAAAATGGTAATGAGAAGCTTAGTTCCCTGAACAATCAAGTTTTGGTCTACCAAATCCTTGCTAATGCATCTACCCCGAGCTTTCATGAACGCTATTCTATGGAGCCTGATGGTTCTTCCCAGAGTCGGAAAACCCATAAATGTTGTGCTTATATTGCAAGCAACAGCAGTTATTGTGTTCGCTTAAATTCCATTCAAGCATTCATGGACATCAATCGAGATGTGAGATCTATTTTTCATTTTGCACTCTGCTTTTTTCTAATTCACTGTATTTCATTAACTTATTTCTATCTCAAACATTTCAGGTCACTGGTGAGGCAGATCATCTGTTAAGTGATACCTCCTCAGATCGTGATAATATTATAGGTCCTTCACCGAAGCTTGGAGCCAAAACTACCGTAAGCCTAAATCATCAGCAAAACTTTCAGAATTATTTAGAATCAATTAGGGTTTAGGGTAACAACTGCTGGTGTTATGATGAATAATATAATAAAAATGCAGATTTTGACTTATATGCTATATACCTGCAAAATTGGCCTTATCTTTCTATGATTTTAGGTGGGACCACAATGTATTCTGGGGGAAGGTTCAGAAATAGGTGACAAATGCCAAGTAAAAAGATCTGTGATTGGCCGTCACTGTCGGATTGGTTCCCATGTCAAGGTATGGTGATTTCTCTAATCATAATAGGCAAGTAAGATAAAGCAAAATGCAAATTTGATGATGTCAGTAAAGCTTATCCCAAATGATCTTGTCATTCACAAATTTGTAAATAAAAGTATGAAGTTTAGATTTTTGTTCAATTTGTAGCTCAAAATCTCTTTCCATGCGTGTGCAGATTGTCAATTCCGTTGTAATGAACCATGTTACAATTGGCGATGGCTGCATAATTCAAGGTTCTGTGATTTGCAACAATGTACAGCTTCAAGAGCGTGTTGTATTGAAGGATTGCCTAGTAATTCCCTCTCTCAAGTAATCGTTACTTACATGTGAAGAGTCTAGTTTTATTAATTTTTTCTTTCTTTTAGGTGGGGGCAGGTTTTGTAGTTACCATGGGAAACGAGTATAAGGGAGAATCTTTGGCTAGAAAAGAGAAATGAGTGAAGGCTGTTGTATCTCAGAATTGCAAGAAAAATGCCTGTCTCTACCCATTTCATTTTCATGGTGCTATTTCGGGCGTGCTTTGCTGAAACACTGGTGCTAATAATATGCGATCCTTAACAAGTGAAGGTAAGACAATGTTAACGACTGTATTTTTCTGCTCTCCATTTTATTCTCTCTTTGAATGTTGCTTTAAACTTGGAGTCATCCCGCTGTGTATTTTTCACAAGACTAAAAATGATATATAAACTTATCCCAATTTTGGCTTATGTTTTGGATGTTTTTATTTTACTAATTTTAAAAATGGAAAGCCGTTTGGATCGCAGTCTTATTGAATGCTCTGTTTTTGTCCATCAAAGTTTCTGGTGCATAGTTTTCCTGTTATCCATGAATTTAGTTGGATAATATCATGTTTCTTGGATTTAGGTAGAGTATTAGATAGAGTATGTGTCTAAATCAAGGAAATCCAATTTATTCCAAGATTTTCAGGGATTTACTTGCAAAAGATAGCAGCTCTGGACTCCGATAAGCAATAAATTTGAACTGTTTTGCAAGTCTGTCCGTAGAGGTTCTCAATCAAGCCAAGTTGAGTTTTTAGTTAAAAGTAGTTCCAAGTTATTTGAAGCCTGATCTTAATTAAACTTCATTTCTAAAATTGAAGCCTGGTTTGAGATAGAAATTGAATAGATTAAGTTGTGCTCAATTAAGCTTGTTTAATAGCCAAGAACGAACTCAACTTGATTATTTACGTTCAAGCTCGAGTTCAAATTGTGTTCTTTTTTTACCAATACCACGTAGTTTGGTTCCAAATTTTCAATAAGAGGATAAACAATCATGTCAATTTCAGTATATTAGTAGATTATACAACAAAAACATTTCTTTTAGGCGAGGCTCTCACTTGATCATGTTCATAAAACAAACCGCATGATTAAAGTTCTCTTCAATTTCTTTTCACTTAGATGTACTTATACTAGTAAGAAAAAAGATAATAGCTCTCTGTTTCTCAATATTTGAGCATAAATCAATCTCATTGCACGTTACTTTACACTAAGCTTATTTCATGTTTTTGTTTCCGTAATCATTGTAACATCAGCAAAGAAACTGCAACAGAGGGATTGACAATATTCGGGCAAAGTCTATTGTTTTCTTGCCTTCATGTTTCTTGCTCAAAAACTACTTGGAGTAATCGGAGAAGGCAACTTCCTTATACAATGGTTGCTCCCCACTTTCTAGCACTTCTGGCAAAGGACAAAAAATGACATCCGCTCCTAGATTCGAAAAAATGGGCACCGAAACTCTGTCCTTACTTCCATTGGCAACCACCTGATGTTCACTGCTCTTGTACTTGTCGTTGCTCATTATTTGTAGCGTGTCTCCCCACGTTGATTACGAGAGCCCCATTGATCGGTGGAACATGAATCCAACTTTGTCATCGGTTGCTCGTACATAAAGCCCGCTATTGTTATCTTGTAGGAGAATAGTGATTGTCGATATATCGGAGTGAGGGAATACGCCTCCAGTGAGGTCTGGGTTCGGGCAATGTGGATAGTAGTTTAGGTTAACCGCCGGTGAAACCATTAATGGATATTCTCTAGCTTTGTCTTTCTCTTTCACCTTCAGTCCCTTCGATAGGATCTCCAGCAGCTTCCTTATCACAGGCTTGGCACACTCCAAATATTTCACCACTTCATCCCTGAAAATAAGCATAGATCCATCCAATCTCCTCAAGTACCCCGTTTGCTAATGGCGCAAATGTCTTAGGAAGCTGCTGAAAAGTAACATCTAAGAAACCTATATCTAGATGAAGATGATTACCCCAAAAGAGAAGCAAGAACAGACCCATAACCATTATGGAAGCTTGAATTAAACAGTTGTAGATGCTTAATGCACAATTAAAGCAAAAGGGTTAGAAGTAGGGATTTAAATAACAGTCACTGTATAATGATAACGGCGCAGGCCAAAACTGCAACTGTGAAAAGCAGCGGTGTGAAGTAGAGTCGTACCAATTATGTTATTGGTACGATGGCGGCCGCAATTTAATACGCAAAGGCCAATTGTATCAATAGCTGCCTTTATTTGGCCCGCTATTCTATTTTTCAAAAAAATAGTTTTTTTTAAACAATTCCTTTAAAAAAATGCATTACCCTGATATCCCAAGGACCACATTAGTATTATGTCTACAACTGTGATAAATGTAACATAACTGAAAACAGTCACAATTGTAATTAAAATCCCTAGGTGAAACACAAATTACTTGCAAACAGGGGGACATAAGAGGAAATCCTTCCACTCAAAAACAGTCTCTGCTTGTGGAACAAAGCTCGTTTTCAAAGCCACTGTTTCAGTCGGCGAGTTCCCACCCCAGTACTTGTTTTTCTCTTCATTCGATAACCCAAAAAACCTATGAGCGGCTTCTTTGACGGCGTCGAGAACTTCCAAGGCAACTCCATGGTTAATTATCTGAAAGAAACCCCACTCTCGGGCAGCTTTGCAGATCGAATCGGTTACCTTCGGGTCGTCCCAATTGGAAACATCGATCACCGGAATGGAGTGGTAAGTTGAGATGTTGTTTGGGTACAATCTTTCCTCGAGTGGTAGAATATAAAGCTCGGGGACGGTTTCAATAGCTGTGTCGACCCTTAATTCTATTTCCTTTGTTTACGACGAAATCGATGGTTTTTTCTGAGTTAATGTCTCTTGGGGGCATTGATGGAGATGTATAAGTCCCTAGTTTGGATAAGAATAGACTGTATAAATTTGTAATTCATAAATATTATTATCTTATGTATATACTATATAAATTTGTATAAATTGATGGTAGAAACATGAAGTGTATATACTATATAAATTTGTAATTCATAAATATTATTATCTTATGTATAAACTATATATAACTTTATAATTCATAAATATTATTATAAAATAAATTATAAGTGTTTATATTTTTTTAACACTAGATACAATTAAAATATAAGGTAAAGTATATAATTAAAATATAGGGTAACATATATAAACCGTCTCCGAATTTTTAAGGTGCTTGTATTTTAATTACAATCATTAAACTTTTAGTTTGTTTTCAGTAAATTCTATGCCGTTACCTCCGTTAGTTTTTACGACGTGATAGTTAACACCGTTTCCCTCCCCTCCCCCACTTCTTCTTCTTCTTCTCTCACAATTCTTGAGAGAAAAATCCTCACAAAGCATGGAACTTTGACAGCATTGATGACCTTCAAAGCTTCAAACTTTAACCCATTTTATTATAGAAATTTAACCAATATATCTAAGGAAATTTCCCATTTTATTATAGAAATTTCAAAGAAATATACCTTAACAGTAGCGCGAGCGAAAAGGGCAATTCCAATGTTTCTATGATTTGAAAATGTGATCCCTTGGGATTCACTTCCAAGCTTAAGACCAGTTCCCAGTCAACAACTTCAATGGCATAAGCCTAAAACCAAGTTGGATCTACCGATTCGAATGTTCTTATGTAACGTGCAATTCTTGCCCCCAGTGGAAACAAAATTCCCCAACTCACAACATTTAGAATCCCATGAATATGGAATTAGTGATTTTTTTGTCAAATTTCAACAAATTCATCGAAAACCCAAATCAATTTAAGATTTCAAACAATTTATTGAAAGGGAAACTCGTGTTTTTCTTCTTAAGCTTATTGTTTCCTTCGGAACCAGTGGTGCTCTGTCCACTTTTCAAATCTAAAGTTCCTTTAGCTTGTAAATTAGTGGCGGCGAAATCATGTTTCTCCAACATTCCACCATCTCCGACGTCGGGACCGGCTTGCTAAACCTGATTAATCTTCCCATAGTCATGGACTTTGACGAAGAAGAAGAAGAATAAGAAAAAGTGTATAAAGGGGTTAAAGCTTGAAGCTTTGAAGGTCTCATGTCAAAGTTTCAAGCTTTGTGAGAGTTTTCCTCTCAAGAATTGTGAGAGAAGAAGAAGAAGCAGAGGTGGTTAACGGAGTTAACTACCATGTCAGCAAAAACTGACAGAGGTAACAACAGGAATTACTGAAAATAAATTAAAAGTTCAATAATTGTATTATAAATTTCAAAAATTGAGTAATCAAAATATAATCACCCTAAAAATTCGGTGACTATTTATATATACTTTACCCTAAAATATATAACTCATATACACAGGCACTGATAACCCATATGATGAGTTTTTTATTTTGTTCTAGCATGATAAACTTCTAAATTTTTTCTAAAGCTTTTATGAAATGTCAATATATTTACATTTTCCATGTAATATTTATATTAAATTAACATGAAACTTTTAGATGCATCTAAGTAATATTTTCAAGCCTTTAGCCCAGATTTACTACCCGTTTGTAATCTTTTATTTTGAATAATTTTCAACAACGTTTTCAAATAATGTCGAGGTTATCGACTCTCCCGTTGAATCAATACTTAATTTTATGTATAATTCTTTAAGATTTAGTACCCGTTTGTAATCTTTTATTTTGAATTTACTTAGATTTGTTATAGGTATTTCTTTTGAGATATAAATATTTCGTTTTCCTTTGTCTCTCTCAATTTCAAAAAATGTGAAATCTCAATATATCTATCCTTTTAAATCCAATAGCTTTCCCTAGAATATTGAATATCTATAGATTGTTTCTAGTAAAGATCATATTGTCCACTTATAAGTATACGATGTAATTTCTTAGTTCAGGATCAAGGCATACCTGAAATCCAATTGAAATTTATATAAGAATTTATAAATTACTCATAAAAAATGACGATGACAGAATTCAAACTTAATTCTATAAACTTAAATTTTTAAATCTCAACTATTTGTACCAATATTGGTAGGATAACAATGCATGAGTATTTAGACAGCTCATTTTCTTAAGGATATATTACACTCACAAGTCACGGCGCTTAAGCCTGAAGCTAAGTAAACTATTGGGGAATACCATGGGCCACTGCGCACTGAACAACTCCTTTTATTCTAGATTTTTGACTTTTATAGACCTTACGTGTTAAGGAAAGGTCCTTGGATTGGATTCCAAAAATATTTTCCTCAGCGGAAATTACTATTTTTCCTTTTAGAATTTAATCTATTCAATTGTAATTTTACAAATTATATTTTATTTTTAATTTCATGCTCTTTTAACTTTGATATTTTATCCTCAAAATCATTTTAAAAAAATAATATTATAAAGAAATTTAATTTATTAAATGATATTATAAATTTTATTTATACTAGTAAAAATATATCTATCTATATCTTATATTATTAAA